AAATTTGTGCTGTAATATGGCAAGTTTTGTCAAAGGCAACAACCTTGAGTAGAAAGTTCTGTTAGATCATAATTTGTTATATAATTAATTTAATTGGCAAAATGTGACAAGTTTTTTGTGACGAACAGAAAAAAAATATGATTTTGGTTGTGCAAGGAAATTATGCAAAAATTTCATAAGAAAGAGTCGAGTTGAGGTGGGCTGCACAGCCGGCAGGAGGAGGCGGAGGCGGAGGAGGAGAAGGCGGCAGGCAAAGTGCGGCAAGCAGTGCGTTGTGGTAATTAAAAAGTTGGCCAAAAAGGAATCCGTAGTCTGAAGCCAGGGATCGTTGACAGCTCAAAGGACCGACCGACCGAGCGACCGTCGAGCGATGACAGCAAGCAAAACTTTGCGATTGGGTCGGGAATTGGTTCTGGCTCCGGTTCTTACGCCGGTTCTGGCTCGACGAATTCAGCCAAAGCTCAAGCAGAGGCACAAAATGTTTACGAGTTCGCCCCGCAAAATAAGTTGGAAAAAATTTGCAACTCGTTGCCAAGTTTGTCACCACACAACAAATATAACAACAACAACAACAACAACGAAAATGTATATAGAAAAATAAATGTAAAAAATACTTTAAAAATACTAGAGAGAGAGAGAGAGAGAAAAAATACTGATGCATAAAACATTGCGAGGGCCTTGGCTAACCGCAGACACCAACGGGCTGCGGTTGGGCTTCGGTTGGTCAGCGTTGCCACTAATGTTGCTCTTGTTGTTGTTGTTGTTGTTGGTGTCAGTGTTGTTGCTGCTGCTGCTGCTGCTGCAGCTCCTGGTCATTATTGATGCCATTGACGACAAACGCGCCAGCAGCGGAAATTGGAAAAGTTCTCGACGGCATCTTACAGTTCAATTTAAAGCAAGAAGTTGAGCTAACTGGATATAAAAAAAAAAAAATACATTTTTGGTTTAAATTGAATACAAAATAGTGAATTAAATTTGTAATATATTTAGTTAACTATTTTTTATTACGTTTAAAACAAAGCATAATACATATTAATATAGATATTATAAATTTGCTCAAATGTCACATAGTT